GAACCCTAAACTTTTTTCCAGTACAGTTGCAAAACTTACACAGAATCATAGCTCTGAACCATCTATTCCCTTAGCCCTCAGCAGTAATGACTTTATGGGATTTTTCACGAGTAAAATAAATTCTATTAGAAACAAAATCATTAGCATTAGCAGTAAGTGAGGCAGCATCAAAGGTAACTGTAGAACCTCATCTGTGTTTGAACCGTTTTAATCCAGTTGAGCTTTCAGAGTTATCAAAAATATTAGCTTCACCTAATCCTTTAACTTGCATTTTAGATCCATTCCCAACCAAATTATTTAAAGATGCATTTCCTTTGCTTACTTTCTTTTTACTATATATATGCTTCCAATTGGTAAAATCATTAGACAGCAAGGGATAAACTTCCACCGTTATGCTGAAGATACTCAGTTATATTTATCCATACACCCTGATAAACCTCATTGGTTAGGTAGATTACAGGCTTGTCTTGAAGTCACAAAAAATTGGATAACTCTAAACTTTCTGCTTTTAAATCAAGACAAGACTGAAATTCTCATCTTTAGACCCGAAAATCACAAAAGCAAATTGCTAAGTCAATCACCTGACCTGAACGGCATTAAATTAGTCTCTGAGAACAAAGTAAGGAACCTTGGTGTTAACTATGACCAGGACATGTCATTCAAATCCCATGTTAAACAGGTTTGTAGGATATCCTTTTTCCACCTTCGGAATATTGCTAAGATTAGAAAGATCCTTTTCAGGAGTGATGCTGAAAAACTAGTTCATGCATTTATTACATCAAGACAGGATTACTGTAATTCATTACTATCAGGATGTCCACAGTATGTAGTTAAAATTTTCAGCTTGTCCAAAATGCTGCAGCTAGAGTTCTGATAAGAATTTTAAAAAGAGATCATATCTCTCCTGTCTTAGCTTCCCTACATTGGCTGTCTGTTAAATTTAGAATATATTTTAACCCTCTGGAGGCAGGCGTTGCAGATTTGCAACGTTAACCTACCTGGTTACTCCACATACATATTTCATGAGCATTTTTTAACTCAGAAGTACCCATGAAGGACTTAGTTGTTCGTCCTTTTATCAAAACTTATTTTGAGCCTGAGAGGGTTAAGATCCTCTTCCTCACATATAAAGCTCTTAATACCGGTAATCGAGCTCCATCATACATCAGTGATCTGATTATTCCATATATTCTTAACAAAGCACTTCACTCTCAGACTGTGGGTTTACTGGTGGTTCCCAGAATATCTAAAAATAGGATGGGAGGTAGATCTTTTAGCTATCAGGCTCCTCTCTTGTGGAACCAGCTCCCAGCCTAAGTCCGTGAGGCAGACACCTTGTCTACTTTTAAGACTAGGCTTAAAATATTTTCATTTGATAGGGCCTATGTTGTTATAGGGCTATGTTGATGTTAACCCAGATCTGGACAAGTGTGGGAGTAGAGGGAGGTGGAGTGTACAGTAGAGAATACAATCAGTGAAGATGGCTCTCCTTTGCTCTGCCTCCAACATGCCTCCATTTAAAAGGCTATGTTATCCAGATTTATCTCTGTAGTTATGCTGCTGTAGGCTTAGACTGCTGGACGACATCTTAGGTGTGTTCTTGCTGTGTCTTTCTAAATCCATGCTTTCGCCGACGTTCTTCAGGCTGAAGAAGCCGGCAGCCGTCGGCGAAACTGTAGCTACAAACAGGTAAACAAAACTGTTTCTGTGTTTAAAAAAGAACGAAAGCATGGATGCTGGAGGACATACTGATCACTTTCCACACTCGATGCTTTTTAAGTGCATTATTTCCTGCAATTTCAGCTGTTAACTTTATTTTTTCTTTAAGTGTTTTTCTTCCCAGAAGAAGCTACAATGGTGTTCTGCTGAGTTGTGGTGGCCTCATGGAGGGGGCCATCATCTTGAACACTGTTGCTAACAACTTAAACATTCTCCCTCTCCTGATGATAACACGTTACTTTCCTTGACATTGAATGTGCTACTACTAGTTTACCTGTTGAATTAATTATAGATTCACTAGGATAAATACAATAAAATTTATCTCTTCCTAAATAGAATATTTACTAAGAAATCACAATGTAAACATAGAAACACTACTTGGTATATATGTTGTGTAGATGTTTGTGTGGTGTGTGTGTGTGTGTGTGTGGGTGGGTGATGGTGTGTGCGTGTGTCTGCTCTGTCTTCTCGATACCCAGTGAGTTGCGGCGGATGGCTGCTGCTGCTGAGCCAGGATCCTCTGGAGACTTCTTCCTGTTAAAAGGGAGTTTTTCCTCTCCACTGTCACTACACGCTTGCTTTGTGTGAGGATTGCTGTAAAGACACTGACACTAGTCAGTGACTCTATGCAACTAGCTGTGTTCCTCATACAGGAAACGTTTTACTGATTGGCTTAATGACCTGAACTGTATTGGAATGTTTGCTGTGTGAAGTGCCTTGAGACGACTCTTGTCGTGATTTGGCGCTATATAAATAAACTTGAATTGAATTGAAGTGTGGCCCATGAACAAAAATCATCAAGTTTAGCCAGAACTTCTGACACAGCAGCACAATGTTGTTACAATTTTTTTCTCTCTCTGGCCCAAAAAATGAGACGAGTCTGATCATATGATCATCATTCTGATCATCATCATCATCAGTACCTGACAGTCGCTGTATCACACAGCTGGTATCCACCTCCATGCACCTCTACAGTAGCGCGCTCTAAAAATTCAACCCTAAACTAGATCCCCCAACATGATCACTTACAAGCCTGAATGCACTCGAGCTGTGTTTCATTAGTGAATACACAGAGCACTTCATTGATGAATATGCATGCGTCACGTGTCTGAGTTGAGATGCATCCTTATCTCTGCTGTTGCGTGGCTGGCCAACACGCACACTCTCTGTCTCACTGTCTCTCTCTGTCTGTCTGTCTTCCGGGCCCCTCTCTGGGCCCGCTGGGCCCATTGACCCCGGTGTGCCGCACCAGTTGCACCAACGCACCCTACATCAATGGCTGTCATCATCTGGGTAATGAAGTTGTTAGAGGTGTTCCTCAAGACTCCTCATTGGGGCCGCTGTTATTTTCACTTTTTATTAACGATCTCCCGCTGTGTTGCACTTCTAGTTCGGTTCATCTATATGCTGATGATACAATTCTGTATTGTTCTCAACCAAACGTAAGTGAAATTCAAGAGACCCTTCAGTTCAACTTCATGAAAGTACAACATTGGTTAGCACAAAATAAACTTTTTCTCAATAAATCGAAAACATATTACATGCTTTTTCAAAAAAGTCCATCTAGCTCTGTTGAAAATATTAATCAAAATTTATTCTTCTCGGACTCTTTGCAAGTACTCTTATCTGATAGTATCAACTATTTGGGGGTTTGGCTGGAGCCAGACTTGTCTTTTAAAATTCATATTCAAAAAATCTATCATAAAATCACATTCGCTTCACCCCTCCCTCTCTCCCTTCTCCCACTGGGCGTCTACATATGTATGTCTGTGGCCCAAATAACCTGTGAAATAATTAAAGACATCATGCTGGATCAGCAGCCTGTGATGACACCTGGTAATACTCACTATAGGAGCCACTTCAGATTTTAAATAAATAAATATAATAATAATATACTGAAAATTAATCAAACTGAGCTCTTCAAAACACTGAACCGAACACAAGTTTTAGTGTACCGTTACACCCCTAGTCAAGACCATTAAACAAGGTTTGCCTTTTCGGAGGCATAAACATGGATTGCTGTAAAGCGCTACTGCCTCTCGCCAAATACGAGACTTTGAAAGACTTTAGGTCACCTGTCCGGGAGGCTCAAGTTGCAAATATGGAATTCTGTCCACAAGGAGTGGAGGGGGATACAACACTGTATTTACCCTGGATAGGGTCATTTTAGCACCTACTGGCTCAAGAAAATGATTTAAAAATACCAAACAGTTACTCAGTGTGCCTTTAAAGTTGTTTATGTGTTATCTGTTATGTGTGAACACAACACCAACTCTTCTCTCAAGTAATTTTTTTATGTGTGAATGATTTGATTTATGAGTAAGAATTAAGAGGATTAGCAAAGAAACAAAAACCCAAAGAAACACATTGTGACAAAACACTAGCATTGACATGTATGAAATATCTAGACACTACCCAACTCCTTGGTATTTTTTAACAAATGAATCCACAATATTTTGTTTTGTGTTTTTAGAACAAGAGTCAAACCAAAGACCAGCAAAGAGCATCTATTTGTCTTTGTTTAAAACTATTATGTTTGAATGACTCTTAAGCAAGAACCTAAGAAATCCACTATAGATATTCTCAGATGCTTAATGAGAGAAAAAAAACAGCTGAACTAAAAAAAAAAAAAAGCATTGAAGGCTTTCAGTGAGCCTGGGGATCACCACTTTTAAATGAGTGCAAGAAGCAAAACACAGAGAAAGTTAAATGCTGAAGACTTTTGTAAAAGGTTTGTGTAATTCCCACCCCACAGCCAGAGCCGGTGCAGCTCTCGACCAATCATCTCATTGAGCTAATTTCACAGTGAACTCCTGGTGACTCCCACTGTTTATGTCCCTTAGCCATCCATAGATTGTGCTGCTACCTTTTCACAAGGAGGTCAGCCATTACAGCCAGCAGAAGTGGTTTCTGGTGGAAGTGGCACTTGTGGCTGTGGGTGGTGACACTGAAGGAGGGAACAGCTTAGAGAGAGACTGAGAGGTGTGGAGAGAAGTAAATGAAGTACTGGGGGGTTGCTGGGAAGGGATTGGGACAGACGCTCCTTTTAATTTACTAATTAACCATGCAAATGAAATCTGAACAGGCTACTCAGAGGCGGTCCTCGGGGGAGGGAGCCAACCATTAGAGCTTGATTATACTCTTTCTGCGTGGAGGGGGAGGGAGGAATATGCTGCTGAATAAAGTGATGAGAAAACACCCCAGCATAAACATCACATACAATCACACATGCAAAACTAATCTCACGGTTACAAAAGTGACAATAAACAGGAGCTCTTTACCTTGAAGACATCCTGAATGTCATCCATGCAGTATACTCTGATGTTGTACTCCAGCGTGGAGCAGTACGCATCCGAGAACAGCACCAGTCGGAGGCGTTTGGATGCACCCATGTGCAGCGACTCTCCAACCAGGGCAAATGCACCGAGCTGCTCTGAGAACAGCCGACACGTCTCGGCCTCAAGTTGGCAGTAATAAGGCTCTGTCACTAGCTCCTCTCCCATTAACAGGACGTCCTGGAGAAAGCAAACGAGACATAATGTTAAATTAAAATTGCCTCATTCAAGGATCTACAGAACTTTTTTTTTAACAAGATCCTCAATATTAGGCTCAGCCTCCAGCCTCAAAGACTAATCGTCTATGTGGAACCGACTGGCCCACCTGTCTTCTCGGACTTTGCTCCAGTTCGGCTTGCTGACTTGGAGATGCAAATTAGCTCCATGAAGCCGGCTGGCTCTTCGGTGGACTGCCTCCCGGCTAAATTGGTGCACGACTCAGTGTCTACACTGTGCCCAGCATTTATGAACATTTTTAACACTAATCTCAGCACTGGAGTGTTCCCTAAGGTTTTTAAAGATGCGGTTGTTCAGCCGATATTGAGGAAACCTGGTCTGGATCACTCCATTTATGAGAACTTCTGTCCTATCTCGAAAGTCCCGTTCCTTCCAAAGGTTCCTGAGAAAATTGTTCATGCACAGATCTCTGCTCACATGGACAGGAATTCATTGTTAGATGTGTTTGAGTTTACTTTCAGGCCACACCATAGCACTGTCTGTCCTGATTAGGGTGCTAAATGACATTCTGGTGGCATCTGACTCTGAGTCCAGGGTATTGCTGCTCTAAGTGGACCCCTCGGCGGCTTTTGACACAGTCAACCACTATATTCTATTGGACCGGCTTTGGTCTTGGGTTGGGCTGATGGGGGTTGCACATGAATGGTTCAGCTCCTACGTATACAACCAATCCATTACTGTCCAGATTGGTGATTGTACCTCCTTCTGTCTCCCGTTGCCTTGGTGAGTGCCACAGGGCTCTGTTCTTGGGCCACTCCTTTTTCCGTATACCTCCTGCCACTGGGCAGAATCCTGAGTCAGTGTGGTCTGGACTATCACATTTACACTGACGACTGCCAAATATATGTAGCGCTGAATTAGAAAAACGTGGGCTCACGATTTTCTGCATGTTTGGCTGATGCGAAGGACTGGCTGGCATCCAAATTCCTAAAATTAAATGAGTTAAAGACTGAGTCTATCGTTATTGACCCCCGAAATCACCCTGGCTGTCACCCTGCTTGTGATTTTTTTAACTCCAAACCCTAAACAGTGGGTAACTAGTCTTGGGTTAAAGCTGGATGCCGACCTCTCAATGACCCCAGATAAACTAAGTGGTGAGGTCTTGTTTTTATCAGTTACGCCGCTTAACTCGTCTAAGACCAATCCTGAAGTGGAGGCACCTGGAATCAGTCATCCATGCTTTTATTACCTCACGCTTGGACTATGCAAACGCACCACTTGTAGGTACTCCTTTTCTGCCCTGAACCGGCTGCAGGTCGTTGAGAATGCTGCTGCTAGGTTCCTGACCTACACAAACCGATGTAGCCATATCACCCCGGTCCTGCCACATCTCCATTGACTCCCTGCCACCTTCCATGTACAGTTTAAGTTATTGAATTTTGTTTTTAAAGCGCTTCATGATTCATAATTCATAATATGTTTCTTATTGTTCTTATTTTTATCTGTTATTACTGTTCAGTATTTTTTTTATCCTCATTGTTTTTGCGTCTATTTGGTTTTAATTGATCCTGTCTGAGCAGCACTTTGGGCAGCTCCCATGCTATATTTTAAATGGGCTATTTAAATAAACTGGTATGGTATGGTAAGGTCTTCAAGGAAATGCTATACAGTTCTGAGTAACGGTTCACATCAGGCAAAAGGGAAGTTCTTTGTTCCTGTATCAAATTCCCTTTTCACCACAGAACCGCTTACTACATACTGACATAAAGACACACTTTCCTCATACATACTATAGAAGACCATCAATTTACTTTATAATGCATGAATGAGTTACTCATTTGACATGATAGGTGAATCGAATGGATTCCTGGTAAAAGTAGATGATTTTGGAGAAATAAAGAGTACAGAGATGATTGGAATTTACAGATCTTCCTCCCCTGTTTGAGATTTGTTAAGAAAGGTGAAAACAACTTGCCAATTTCTCTGCAAACCAATACTGTTATGTGATATTTAAAAGTGTTAAAAAACTAACAGGCAGCACTGGAATTAATTGCTTCTTTAGTTTGCCACGTTGGAAAGGCAACAACAGATCTAAACATGTCGGGGAAAGCAACACCTTACATTTTCTGGCTTCGTTTGGAAGCTGAATCTCAGACACTACGGCGTGCTTAATGAGGAAAACAGACTTGCGAGAAGATCCAATTGTGGTACGGCATGGGATAGGATGGATTTTCAAGAGATAACTACTGCTCTCTTGCCTTTTTTATTGGAGACAGATCAGGCCCAAGGTGACAACATTTTTTTCTAAAATCACATTGTTCCAGTTGACTGACTCTTCCCATTAGTAAGTCAGAATAAAGAGATAAGATAGTGTCTGCCAAATGCCTGGCAAAGCTCATCTATGGTCAATTCACCCATACACCACCAACAAAATTAGTATCGACACTGTTCATTTTCTATGCAACCGCAGTAGAGTCTTTCTTTCTCATCATCTTCATATTCCTTTAAAGTAAAACAGAGAACGAAGCAGATCCCGACTGATCATTGGTCTTCACTCCAGACCCATTTTACTCTTCTTTTCTCCTATTTGTGGTCCTTTCCTCTCTTCTCTTGTCAACCTCTAGTGGCCATGCAGTCAGGCCGTTGGATTATATTTGGCTGGCCTGATGATTAAAAGTGGTGGTCTAACCTCAGTCTCAGACAGGCCAATCCATCCCACAGACACCACACCTCTGCCACACTGGAGGGAGGCTGAATAATTTATGCACAATATCGAGCATGAAAGAGGACCTAGTAACACTCTAAAGCCCACCAGCACTCTGTCCAATATCAGTCGATTCTTGAGATGGGTCTATAGCCTCGAACAGCGTTTGTGTGTTTTTGCTCTCGTATGTGTGTGTGTGTGTGTGTGTGTGTGTGTGTGTGTGTGTGTGTGTGTGTGTGTGTGTGTGTGTGTGTGTATACACTAAAAGGCTGTTCTCAGCTCTTTCCTGATTGCAACCTGCAGTTCTGGTAGCTTTCAAATTTCATGGGTGGAAAAATAAGGGAAGGAATTCTGTAATTGGAAGCAGTCATCAAAATGGTCAAGAAGCACTCAGAAGAGTACTTTGAGGATCAGTAATTTGCGTAGAAAATTTTTCACAAACACGTTGCTTAGCAACCCTTTAGCCGAGGAAAGCCAGTGCTCCGAGGCCTTTGTTCTAGCCTGATGAAATAGAAAAGAAAAACAAAACAACCTGATGGTCAATATAATTTAAACCCTGTGGAAGAGTGCTGGGCAAGAACTTCCTATGAAGTACAGTGTGTTTTTCAACTCATGACAGGGAAAAGTTTGCACTTTTCACGCAGTACCAATCAATCTGTCCAGCAATATGTTACAGTAAACTTACTGTAAACTTTATCTTTCTACAAAGGCTTTGTGGTCGAGTTTTAGTGCAGCCTCACCTCCCAGGCGCCCTCGTAGTTCTGCTTCTTGAGGCGGACAGCCCAGTTATCGAGACATGCGTCAAAGCAGTGGTCCATGCTGAGGATAACTGGCCGGCTCAGGACTACCCCCGGTGGGCCACAACTCACTATGGGGCTCAGGAGGGTCTGGCAGCCGGCCAGGGGTAACCTACATCAGAGAGAGAGAGAGAGAGAGGGAGAGGTGAATGAATTGAAACAAAGTGGTTGTAGTTATTAAAATATTACTGGGAATTTACTGGTCTCTTGAAAGCAGAATATGATACTGCCATCCCTGCAAATTATCTAGCAGCTGTAACAAAGAATAATTAAAGCGTGCTGGACTGAGCGAGCGGCTGGGCAGAGCTGTGAGGACTGAGCAATAACATAACACTATCACACCGGGCTGCCATGGATGTGCTTTCAGAGGATGAGTGCAACAAGCCAGATAAACATTGCTTTCCAAACAATTAATTTAACTTAAACAGTGCACATCCTTGTAAAAGGCTATGTTATTTATTTACATCCCTCCTCCACAGTGCTGGCACAGCCTCTTAAGCCTCTCCTAATGGAAGAATAGAGCATCAAAACAAACAGCCTAGTGGCGTTCAGGGAAGACTGCCAGTTAGACAGCGCTAAAGAGACCTACCTTAAATCTTCTCTTCTCTGAACTGTGAGATAAATCTCATAGATCTTTCCTCTGGGGATGGCCTCGGGAGGAATGAGCAGACTGATTCCTAATGCAAAAAACAATAGAAGGGAGAAAAAGAAGGCCGTAAGCAAGAGGGGGACGGGCTCATTAGTTCTGACTGAACAACACTTATGTAATTTCACAAAGAAATCCTGTCCAAAAGACAAAAACGCACAGCTGGAAATAAGAAACAGAAAACAAATCTCTTCTGAAGGTCAGAGGCAGCCCCGTCAGGTGCAGCAGATGCAAATCTGTGCAACGCTGGCGTTCGTCCCCGATGTCAACAATTAGCCGAGACAAATGCGGACACTGAATCACGGTTTAAATGTCCTCCGTCTGCCACCGAGTAGATAAATGAGACCGCAGAACAGACTACTCCAGGAAAAATGAGCTTCTCCAGGAATATGTTCAAACACACACTCGAGGATAGGAAGAGCTGCTGAGGCAGTTAAAGTGTTGCAGCATTTACATTGTGATTCTTATGCCAAAAGTATCCACTCAAATGTAGGCCAGACTGTGTGACACTATTCTAACAATCTTAGAATTTATTCTGGGTCTGTTTACAGTAAGAGAAACATTTTGAATAAAGCTAAGGTGTTTGAATGCTCACAGCTCTGACTCTATAAAAGACTCACTCTGAAACGGTGATAAATGACAGAATAACTCCTGTGAGTGGATGCATGCAAGTGTAAGAATTTTTTTGTTTCCTTCCTTCCTGCAGTCCTATGAGAAGATGGGTGCCAATGCGTGCTACAGTGAACATGGCTTTGAGTTAATCCATGCATAAAATATCTCTCTGTAAGAGACAGAAAACGGAAACACACAGAGAGGGAGAACGGTGGCAGAGAAAACACATGGAAAACACAATTCCTCCACTAGATGTTGTCATTCTCAGTTATCTGGACAGCTTGCAATGAGCCATGAGGAAATATCTTGTTCAGTTTAATTACATAAGCACTGCTTTGTAATTGAGAAGCAAAATGCAGAATGATGAGTCAATTTTTATTTTCACTATACAATGCATCAAAATAATCTGCACCTCGACAACCTTCTGCATGACATTTGTGGACATCAACTACAATTTGAATCAGCTTCTCCATTTGTGAAAGCTTTATTCCAGGGATCTTTCCAGGTACAATATTTTTGCACAAGCCCATTCATCCTTTCGCTGCAGGACTCCAATTGCTTGTCTCACCAAATTTACATTGTCAGATAACAACATGTGTTCCCGAGCAAGGCCGTGTCTGCCGCTCACCGCTCCCGACGGGGAGGTGTCAAATGTAGAAGATAATTTTCACCACACCAAAAAATAAACAATCAATGATGAACAAGAGTCTGCTTCTAGGCCTACAGAAAGAGGGAGAGAAAAAGAAGGGGACACACAACGATTCAACTAGTGCAAGCTATCACTGCGTAAACCTAATGAGGAAATGTAAAATCAACATTGTTTTACTGAACAATCACACGATAATAAATCACAGTGAATTTAGTGCCAACCACAGCCTTAAGACGTGTGTTGAAAATGCCCAAGTCCATACTTATGAGAGCACCATGTGAGCACCTGTGTGCATATACGTGCTTGTATATGTGAGGTTTCTCTATAGGAGCATCCAATAGAGTGTGAGGGGCCACAGATCTGCCCCCAAAGATGTGTAGAAGATGAAGGGAGCTCCAAGTCCCACAGATCCAGGAGCTGCCCCAGAGTGCAGGGACTCCAGGGAGACCATAACCAGAAAAGCCCCAGCCCCCTCTCGAGAGGCGCAGAGGATATCCCCAGAGGGTCACTACCAGCAGTCGGCAAGAGTTCCGCGAGATATCAGCGGCAAGCCCACAGGCCCGCCTACAGCCTTCCACCCCCAAGCCAGCAGAGCAGGGTTCCCATTCTTTTTTGACATGATTTTCCAGGACTTTTTCAAGACTTTTTCAGCTGCTGCAGTATGGGTCAAGTTATTACAGCTAGGGCTGGGTGATATTATTTTCATATCAGGATGTATTTTGCAACAGATATGACACTGTACCTATACCGCTATAACAATTTTATGGTTGCACAAAGACAGTTGTCTTTCACTATAGAGAGCCTAAGTCTCCTCCATGTCCAGTCGGCTCATGGTACTTTTGCTTAAATAACAGCATTTAAGTCTCAGTCTCTCACTCACTCACTCACTCTCTCTCTCTCTCTCTCACACACACACACACACACACACACACACACACACACACACACACACACACACACACACACACACACACACACACACACACACACACACACACACACACACACACACACACACACACACACACACACACACGTGTAGTAAATATTTGCTCAAATATTGATAAGGAGTTACCAGCATTAACCCTCTGGAGTTTGTGGTATAGTTAGCCGTATTTACAAGTTTTAGTGTTCACCTTTATATTACACTCTCTTTTACAGTTTATGCCTTGTTTGGTATAATTATTTTCAGCACAACCTCACATATGTGAGTTCAGAGTAATCTCTTCATTTTGTTAGATGTATTAGCACACTAATTATTAAGTAATTAGTAAACAAATAATCAAAATCCAAACAGAAAAAAAATACATATATGCTGAAGTGAAAACTAGGGATGAAACTATACCACTTTTTTCCAAACTGATACGATGCCGATATTTGGATCGGAGTACTCGCCGATACAGATTACCGATGCAAATACATCTACCACACAAAGAAATGCTCTGAATTGGAATACAGGTTGTATTGTCTTCTTTGCTTTCAACAGGAAAAGACTGTGAGGTGGATAAAAAGTAAAATATATGAATAGAAATGATCACAAAACTAAAATTTTAGGTGAACAGAAATGACAAGTTACAGTGAAGTCACTTTAAAGCTACTGCATTGGTATCGGTTAACTTTTACTGCGTAGGAGAGTAACATATGTATCTGGGTGCTTTTAAAGCTTAATGTACTACACTACACTTTGACCAATAAGATATGAATTTATATATAAATATGGAAATATCAACCTGATTGGTCTTTGACTGTTTAACCAGAAGATTTAGAATTCTTTGTTTATTCAGGGATTTTCAGACACTTTGTATTAATTCAAGAAGAGAGTCAAGTTTATAAGAGTAAGAAATTTATTTTCTAAACAACTAAAAACATGACAACTAGGACACTTTATGTGATGAATGGATCTAAGTGGATGGAATGTGAGGTGTGATGATGTGTGAATGTGATGTTATCAGAACCTTCGTATCTGAAGAAACTGAGTTCTGAGTGGGAATGAATTTGGTCTGCAAAAAACTAACAAAGTTGGTTCTTATCAAAAACACATTAGACGCAATCTGTCGAGTCTACGTACCCTCGAAGACCCCAGTGGTAGATCCGGAATGTGTTGAGATCCGGGGACCCCAGAGGTACCGAAGTCCGTAGAAGAAACCGTAGTGCCGACTAGATCGGTCTCGAGATGTCTTCAGGTCACGACAGTTGTTATTTACGTCTTAGGAATAACTCTTAAGGAGTTGGAAGTTGGTTCAGCTTTATTCTGAAGGAACCGTTTGCAGTCAGCTGTAGTGTGCAACAGGCTTTTGACAGCTTTTCAAAAGATGCTCTGGGTTAAAGAGGTTTTGCTCCAGATGGCCGGTCCGAAGTTTTCTCAAGAACTCACAAGAACTAAAACTAACTCACGGTAAAGTGAGCTCTGTTTAAATTATCGTCGTATTTTGATTTATTAACAAATCAGAAACTGACATGTAAAAAGGGTTTTAACCAACAAACCTCAGAAAACACGCCTCGCATCAGATACAGGAGCTCTGATTGGTGGAACAGAATGCAATGTGTCAGGATATTAGCTTAACCTTGTCATCTTCACGTGTCTGAGTGTGTGAGCTGTCAGCAGAAAGTAATTCACTTGTTAAAGCTAAAATTACTGATCATAACATAATAATATTAATTTCAACCACAGTAATTTAAGCACAGATTAATTAAAACATTCTTCTTCAACCAATATTGTTCATTCAACCATATGATTATTTACTCATCTTATTCATTATATGATTTATTTCTGAAAGTTCATCCGTCTTGTGCTGTGAATGAAAACCAGACTTAGATAAGAGTGAAACTGGAGGGACCTTGGCAGAGCAACAGTATCTTTCTTGCCGATTAAAGCACCAATTAAGACTTTGTCGTCGTCTTCCTCCGCTTATCCGGGTCCGGGTCGCGGGGGCAGCATCCCAACTAGGGAGCTCCAGGCCGTCCTCTCCCCGGCCTTGTCCACCAGCTCCTCCGGCAGGACCCCAAGGTGTTCCCGGACCAGATTGGAGATGTAACCTCTCCAACGTGTCCTGGGTCGACCCGGGGGCCTTCTGCCGGCAGGACATGCCCGAAACACCTCCCCGGGGAGGCGTCCAGGAGGCATCCTGACCAGATGCCCAAACCACCTCAACTGGCTCCTTTCGATCCGGAGGAGCAGCGGTTCTACTCTGAGTCCCTCCCGAATGTCCGAGCTCCTCACCCTATCTCTAAGGCTGAGCCCGGCCACCCTACGGAGGAAACTCATTTCGGCCGCTTGTATCCGCGATCTCGTTCTTTCGGTCATTACCCAAAGCTCATGACCATAGGTGAGGATTGGGACGTAGATCGACCGGTAAATCGAGAGCCTGGCTTTCTGGCTCAGCTCCCTCTTCCCCACGACAGATCGGCTCAGCGTCCGCATCACTGCAGACGCCGAACCAATCCGCCTGTCGATCTCCCGATCCCCCCTACCCTCACTCGTGAACAAGACCCCGAGATACTTAAACTCCTCCACTTGAGGTAGGACCTTTCCCCCGACCCGGAGGTGGCAAGCCACCCTTTTCCGGTCGAGAACCATGGTCTCAGATTTGGAGGTGCTGATCCTCATCCCAGCCGCTTCACATTCAGCCGCGAACCTACCCAGCAAGAGCTGAAGGTCAGAGCTGGATGAAGCTAGGAGGACCACATCATCCGCAAAAAGCAGAGACGAGATTCTCCTGCCACCAAACTCGACACACTCCACACCACGGCTGCGTCTAGAAATTCTGTCC